AAAATCCGTAGTTGATAATAATAATAATAATAATCCTTGCATTTGATATCGTGCCGTATCACATCATTCAGACGTCTCAAAGCGTTTCACAGGATATACTGTAAAGTGGATTGACTGTGTGTTTTGTGGGTGAAATTAAGAGCTATTGAATAGCTGTGGCTGTGTGTGCCAGCAGGAGTGTAGGGAAGAGCAATGGGAGAAGGGGGAGAGCGAGCATATGAAGAGAGAATATAATGACACTCACGGCACTGTTTACGCTTGCAAACCGTTATTAATGAATGATGTTGAAGCGTGTTTGGCTCTTAATGAGTGACAGCACTTAAAAGAGTCAGGCTTTCTGGTCAGTGTACAAATATACTCTAAATCTATTGACTAATCATTGAAAAATCCCTTTCTCAGCACTTCAGTGTATCTCAAGCATCTAATTCATATAGACGGGGTGAAATGTTATTAGCAATAACTGCCATTGTGAGCGAAGTAAGTCTGTTACTTTTGTGCTGGTAATGGGCCATTTTCATTTACATTCAACAGCCGATTTTTTTTTACAAAAAAGAAATCAATGTGCAATCTCCTCACGAGCAGCTTTTGTGATTTTTTTTTTGCACATCAACTATTTTTCAATTAGGTTTCAATCTTCCTGCTGTCTTCGCCTCTTTTCTGTGGCAGCTCTATCAAATTAAAAAATGGAGAAAAAAAAATATCTTTGGATATCCTTCATCAGATTCCAGCACTTTCCCATCTTTACTGCCGCTTCAGTGCACGTCAAAGATCAAACACGCTTTATCAAGAATAATTATACAACTTGATATTTATCCTTTAGTTTAAGCACAGTCCCTCTGCCCAGTTTTCTGGGTACATTGTGCTAGGCTTTATACTATCTTTCAATGAAGTTAATAGATTAAGTTCAGCACTCCTTTAATGCCTACAAAAATCCTGTATGCTAATCACTGGGCACATTGTGTCCTAGGCTGTGTTGGCACATCAACGACTGAAACAGGTTACCAGGGAGGATGGCTGAGGCCAGGACCCTGGACTCATTTAAAACGAAGCTTTATATGCTGTGATAGGATGATTTCGTTTTTGGTCAGCTGGGTGTCTGACGCATGCGGGAAACCAACATCGTGCTTAAACCAAGCTGAGAGTTCCATGCATCCCACCTACACATGGAGATTCCAGAGATATTTATTGGAATGGAATACGCACTCTCTCCCTGGAGGCACACTTTCTGCTTACCTAATTCCAGAATGTAACAGGCGCAGGTTGGCAAGAGACGAGGCCCAGAGTGTGTGTTGGGTATTGCTGGAGTCTAACCAACTAAAACCGCAGAGCTTGCCAATGATGGCACTGTCTGGCAAACTTTCCCACTGGCTGGCAAGCTTTCCCACTGCTTGTCCAGCTAGGCCCACCCCTACCCATTAGGGCTTTGGCTTTCAGGGGTAACAGGAACTAAGTGGGGTGACTCCTTGCCCCAGTGACTGGTCTGCCCTTCCAGGTACTGCCGATAACCCAGGCTGGGCTGTGCCTTCATCAGCAGTGTCCTGGAGTTTGCGGACCCAGCTGGCTCAGGAATCGGACTGGAGGCCGACAGAGGGCTGGCTTGATTCTGACATCACTGGTTCGGCAGTAAGACAGAAATGTCAAGAAGATGATGGGATGGGCTTTCCAGAAGGTGAGATCAGATGGGCCGAAGGGTCGTTTTCATCTGAACCCATCTTGTGATCTTGTGGTAATGATGAGCTACTCTCTGTGGAGATGGCAGGGCACAAGCCGTTACCATGAAAATGTAATAATCTTCTCATTTGATGATTCGATACAGCACATTTCACGCCAGGTGCACATCTCAAAGCACTTCACAGAGCACACTGTCAAGCATAGTGACTCTGAATTTTTTTTAGGAGAACATAGCAACCAATTTGCACCCGGCAATGTCGCACAAGCAACCCCTTTGAAATGAATGAACAATATTATTTGGGAGGATCGTTGGCCAGGACACCCGGAGAGAGAAACTGCCTTCTCTTTTCGAATAGTGGCTTGAGAGCCAGGACCTCGACAATGAAGCATTCCCCCCAGGAGTGTCATATTGGGGAATTCTATAGTGGAATTCTCAGTTTGGTTTGGATACTCTTAAGCTTAGATACTCTTGGTTAAGATACTCTTAGGTTTAGATACTCTTAAGCATGGTGATAGGTTTCCTCACGTGTCAGACACCCGGATAACCAAAACAATAGAGCGTCAGCCTAAACCATGTGTGTTCAATGTCCCGACACGAGGCTTGAAGCCACCAGAGAGGTGAGAGTGCTACCAACTGAGCCAGGCAGATTCGGGCCAAGAGAGAATCAAGAGAGATTCAGCTCAAGTCATCCAGCGTTACCACTTGATGGTGCTATTGCTTCATCTTCCTGCAGTATATACAGAGTAGGATGGCTCAGCAGGAGCTCTGCACAAGCCTCTTTGCTGGAGCTCTTATCAGAATTACAGCAGATAGTCCGAACGGCAGACGTCTTAATTCCAGGCACCAGGGTTCAGAACGCACAAGAAAACCACTGTGGCAAAAAGTTATTCTACTTTGTGAGCTCAGTGTGGAAATGTCTGCTTCATTCACTGTCTTTAGTTAATTTGTCCTAGTGCCCTTATGAATAAAAGCACTGTAGTGCAAAAAAAACATAATTTGATTTTCCAATTTAATTTACAGAACGTCAGGTTATTTATCGTTTAAATTTTGTTAGGGTTTCAGTTTTTAGAACTGATTTGACAAGTGAAGCTAGATGTTGGTGTTTGTCTGACTGTGCAGGATGCAGACCACACATTGTCACGGGTTACAGGGACAGATTTGCCTCATTTTCTTTCACTCAAGCAGCCTCTGAAAACCATTATTTTTACACTAAAGTGACTTGCTTCAAAGATTTCACATGTTCGAGATGTGATCGGATCGTGCACTAACTCAGTGTGCCACCCAGTCTCCAACCTTCTGTGATTCCACCCATTTGATACCAGGGAAGTGGTTTGGATGAACATCTCTCTTCAGACCATTTGATCTCATCTCTGAATACCCAACCTGCCTTCCTCTCATTAGGGTGCCAGACTGTTTAACTATACCCAAATCACCATATCCTGGCAACCAGTTTCAGCTTTTGGTGACCTTGTGTCACTAAATAGTATAATAATAAAATACCATAGAATCTTACAGCACAGAAGGAGGCTCTTTGAAAGAGCTATCCAACTCGTCCCACTCCCCCACTCTTACCCTATATATCTGCAATTTTTTCCTTTACAAGTACCTATCCAATAATGTATGCTAATAAAACGACAATGTTTGTGTATGTGTGTGTGTGTATCAGCCACAATCTCAATAACCGATTGATGTAGAGACATGATTTATACCTCTTTGAAAAGGTCTTGCACCTGGGAGTGTCATAGGCATATTTGTTTTCGGGGATCTCCTATCGTTGATGAGCTATGGCAGTTTTGCTTAAGGTTTACACACAGTTTTTATGGGATGTTAAATGGTTTGTGAGTGGTATCACTGAAATCTACACTCCATATTGGATCCTGTGGTTGCAAGCGTAGCTGGAATGGGTACAGCTGGTAATATAATAATCTTTAAGTTTGATACAGAGCCTTTCATGTCCGGAGGATGTCTCAAAGCGCTTCACTTGATAAACTGTTGTGTAAGTTTGTGGCTGCGTATGCTCCAGGCAAATGCAGTAGCCAATTCGCTACAGCATTGTCCCACAAAACAGCCATGAAGTGGCTGACCAATTTTATTTGTTGGGGTTGTTGGCCAGGACACCGAGAGAAAGTCACTTTGCTTTTTACATCGTCCCATGGACACTTTAACGTCCACCTAAACAGGCAGAGGGGACTCTAGTTTAATGTCTCATCTGAAGGACACCGCCTTGAACAATGGTACTCACCCCCAGCATCAGGAGGGGGTTTCAAATAAAAAGGCCCTTTTAAGAGAAATGTTGCTATTTCATAAACTTCCAAGGCATTTTAAAGAAAACAGAATGGGCAAGGAGAGAAAAGGCATTTGTATCTCTTGACTGAGAAGAAAATTATATGTAATTTATGTACAGTAAGCTTGTAGATGGTTCAATAAAATTGAAATAAATAATCCATAATAGTTATTTTTTGAATTTCTCCCTTTTTTTGTTGCGCCCTGCTGTATGTATGCATTGGAACGAGAGACAGATGTATTCCCGGAGTCATGGCTCACCTTAAATCACAGACATTTACCTTGTGTTCTGTTGGTCTGTGTCTCTGTGCAGCAGCACTCCCCAGCCAGGAGAGTCTGTGGGTGCTTTTCAGGTCTCGTTACACATTGACTCAAATGACTATAATGAGTTGTTGAACAGTAGTTAGTTGGAGTGCTTAGAACAGATGGGTGGTATTTGCGCAGTGGCAGACTCAAAATTTTAATCACTAGCTGTACTGTTGGATCTGACCAAACAAACAATACCTCCCTAATTACAATTGCAGACAGCCTTAAAAGCTACTTTACCATTACACCAACTGCACAGTTAAAGTTCTTTAAAATGTTACTGAGATTGTACTGGAGCTGCTAATTTGTATTTGATGCAAGCTTTTGGAAATGATCTCCCGTGTTGAACGGAGTGAAATTGTTTTTTTTCCTTCACCCTATGCGGTGAGATCTCCAGCCTTCGGGTTGTAGGTTTAGAGAAAGCAGAGGATTATGTGGGTTGTACATCGCCAGTTTGACTCTTGAGGCAATCCTGCCTAACTCCTTCTGAGGGATAACTGATAATGCAAAACATTGGCAATTCCTGATGTCAAATCTGGGGCACCCCACATCGGGTCTTTGAGCTCACAGTCCAGGCTGATGCTAAATGTGCAGACAGAGGTCTTAAGGCTGAGACACTGAGAGATTTCAGAATGCAGGTCCCTTCCTAGATTTGCACAGCTCAGTTCTACAGTAAGGAGAGCGTTCATCCACTGAGCCAACAAACTCAACCTTGGGGTATGGTATCAATGGATCTTACCTGGAGATAGTGTTCTCTGCTTGAGTTTGACGTGGTATTGGGTGGATTTGAGCTTCCAGTGCTGTACAATGGGATAGCCTGTCACCTCACTGAAGTTAACCATTCCTGAAAGAGAACAAAAGGTTGGTGATGTGAAATGGCAGGTGTGAGAGTATTTTTTATTGCTAATAAAAAAAAGTTCTTTAAAATGTTACTGAGATTGTTTTATCTCTTTTATTTCCATTTGATAATGCACAGCAGAAATTCAGCAAAGACCCACTTCTGTCAGTTTTTTTTAAGATCAGTGTTCTCAGATTATTGTCGGAATTTTTCCCGCAGGCTACCACTTATTTTTAACAGATATCCTGGATAGGCTTCCTGTTTCCCTCCCTCTGTGCTCACATGCATGGCGACACAACAAGAGAAGCACAGAAGTCATTAGCCTGTTTTTTTATATTTTGTTAAACAGCAAAGAAACCCAGCGGTTTCTACCTTGCCGAGGTAGGGCGTACATGATTAACCCTTAGCATTCTGGTTAGTGTACTTGCTTTGCAAGCGAGAGGACCCAGTTCGATTCCCGGACAGTGGGAAACCTTAGGCAAGTTACCTTAATCCACACACCTCTGCTTACCCAGCAATGAGTAAGAACCCAGATGTTAGTCGACTGGCGGATCGCTTTCCGGGGGTAATAATCCCTCAAAAAAAGTGTGATCACTTAATCCACAACTGTTTGTGGGACACTGCTGTGCTCAATTGACTGCCGCAGTTTCACTTACAAATACCCAGTCAAACCTCTTTACAATATGTTCTGGGTAGCGCTTTGAAACGTCTCAATGATGTGATAAGGCGCTGTATCAAATGCAAGGATTAGTATTGCTATTATAACGCTGCAGTGCCATTTTCACAAGCCACCCATTTAGATGGCCCACAACAATACAGGAGAACGCAATAAACATTTACATCTAATCAGCACCTTTCACGTCGGGAGGACATCCCAAGGCGCTAAACAATCCTGGCTTCGCACTCGAGCTGGGGGAGGGGAGTGAGGTGGCGTGGAGGTGAAAGATATAGGTTTTGAGGCTCGCAAATGTCTCGGAACATTTTATCAAGTCAATGAACACGGAGTCATTTTTTTTCGAAATCCAAGCAAATGCTGAACCTCATTCTGCCCCCAATGGCATTCCACAAACAACAGCGAGATGAGTGGCGAATCTCTATGGCAAACTAATCTGAGGGTGTGAGGTTCATCCTGTTGATGTAGCACTAGAACTTATAATAATCATAATTCTTGCATTTGATTTGGTGCCTTATCACGTCGTTGAGATGCTCAAAGCGCTTCACAGGATATACTGTAAAGTGGTTTGGCTTTGTGGCAGCCAGTTGCTTGGCAAATTTAGCAAAATACGGCGTTCAATTTACGGCTGGGGTCCTGTAAGTTCTTTTAAGAAACTACAGAAAAAAATCGACTCCAAAGTTATGACAGAATTCAACAATTTGCCGAATTCCGCAGTGTAAATTATGACATAAATCAAGTTCACCTGGACCCAAGTGAAATATCTCTCTTTGTTTCTTTGTATGAGTGTGTGTGTGTGTGTATGTCATGGTGGGGGGGGGTGCTTTGGAGTCCTGTAGCTCAGTGGTTAGAGCACTTGCTTTGCAAGTGAGAGACCTGAGTTCAATTCCAGGCAGGGCGAAACCTTGGGCAAGTTTCCTTACTCCACACGCCTAATAATAATCCCTCCAAAAAAAAACAATAATAAAATTGGTCATTTTCAATCCATGACTGTTTGTGGGACATTGCTGTGTGCAATTGGCTGCCGTGTTCGCCCACAAATATACAGTCAATTTGCTTTACAGTATATTCTGTGAAGCGCTTTGGGACGTCTAGAAGACGTGAAAAGTGTTATATCAAATGGAAGGATTATTATTATTATCCATCTGAATGACAAGGCAGACCAGATCTAAATTGATGATTCAATCGTAGACATCGCTGCTCTCGATATGCTCAGTTCTCAATGTGGAGACACTGTCATATAACCTGCCTGCCTAGCTTCCCCTTTTTATCATCATTGATATATTATCATCACTGCCTGACTCCTTACCCACGCATTCATCACATCAAGGCTCGATTACGGGAACACCCTCCTCATTGGCCTTCCCAACTCTCCCCTTCACAAGCTGCAGATCATCCAAACCTCTGCAGCTCCTGTACTCTCACCAGGCTCCGCGACCCCATCACTGCCACCCTCCCGCCCGACTCCACTGGCTCCCCATCCCCCAGAGGATCGAGTTCAAGATGCTCGTCCTCACTTTCAAGGCCATCCATGGCCTTGCCCCCTCCTACCTCTCTGGCCTGCTGACTCCCTTCCAACCTGCTCGCTCCCTCCATTCCCTATGGTAGGGGTATGAGGGTGTCTGAAGAGGTGGGTCTTGAGACAGGCCTTGAAGGAGACAAGGGAGGAGGTGAAGGGACACGAGGGCAAGGATAAACACAAGCTATCTCTTTAGAGAAAGCTCATTGAAAGGTAGTTTATAAACTTATGAACACCTCCCCCCCTCTCCCGATGTCTGGGCCCACATTCCATCAAATTAAATTGGTCATTCATCTCGTGGCTGCTTGTGAGACTTTGCTCTGTGCAAAAAGGCAGCCGTGCTGGCCTACAACATATTCGGTCAATACAGTTTTCAGTAGACCCTGTGAAGCTCTGAGAGGTCCCCTGATATGAAAGTCATTGTGATCAAATGCAAGTAACGAAAGGAAGATCGTGCCATGGCATAATTGTGTTTGTATCTTTCAAACTCTGAGCTGTAAGAATAATAATCTTTGCATTTGATGTAGTGCCTTATCATGTCTTTTTCGTTGATTGATTTTGAAACTCAGAAGATATATTAATTGCGATATTAGGAACGTATTAATTCATTTTGCTCAACGGTTGATACTCTGCAAACTAGAGCTATGCTATTGGGTACCATGGATTTCTCCTTGCTCCCATTTCCCAAAGAGGCCACATGCATCCAAGCTATCATTGCAACACTACAATGTAATATTAATAATCCTTGCATTTGATTTAGTGCCTTATCATGTCATTGAGATGTCTCAAAGCGCTTCACAGAATGTAGCATAAAGTGAATTGACTGTATATTTTTGTGGGTGAAACGCGGTAGACAATTGAGCACAAACAGTCGTGGATTGAGTGACCAAATTATTATTATTTTTTAAGGGATTATTCCCCACGGACACTGATCCACCAATCGACGGATTTTCAAATCCCCACATGCCCTAGCACCTCCCTACCTAACCAGTCCACTTACCGCCACCCCACTCACCACCCGCTGCCTCCACCCTCCTGTTTGTCCCTCATCCCCTCCACTCCACCATCGGTGGCTGTGCCTTCAGCCACTAGGCCCCGAAACTCTTGAACTCTCTCCCTCAATCCCTCTGCCTTGCCCCTCCCTCCCTCCCTCCCTCCCCACCTCCAAATCCCATCTAAAGACCTTCCTTTTTGATTGTGCCTATGGACACCTCCCCCTCCCTCTCCCCCTGGCTCGGTGTCAGACTCTGCCACTGTTAAGTGCTCTGCGTGAAAGGTACTATATAAATGCAACTTGTTGTGGTTGCGTTGTTGCTGTTGTACGCTACAGGACTCCACTTATGGGTCTCAACAGAAAGGATTGCAACATAAACAGTCTGGGCAATGCAAGCTGAATTTATATTGGGTTGGTACGGACAGGTAATGCGGGCAGACCATTCAATGAGATGACATGAACTAATGCGCCTCATCGCTTGGTGCCAGTCATTTGGTTGGAACCTACTCGAGGCAATTAAAGGCATGTTTTGTTTCACCTCACCCCATCAGATGCCAAGAATCCTACTTAACAATAATGCTAGTCCTTACATTTGGTATAATGCCTGCAACTTGAAACATTTAAAGTAGCTGTTTTATCGCCGAAACATCTCAAAGTGCATCACAGGATTCAGTGTCAAGTGGAGTGATTGTGTATTTGCAAGGTGAATGCAGCCACTTTGCACATAGCAAAGCCAACAAATAGCCATGAATGGCTAAATTTGTTGGCCAGGGTGTTGGGAGAAACTCTCTTCTCTTTTCGAGTGGTGTCACAGGATTTTTAACATCTTTTGGTAGATAAATCCAAAGGATGGCACCCCAAACAGAATAGCGTCTCCCTCCAGTCTATAATAATAGTCCTTGCATTTGATATACAGCCTTATCACGTCATTGAGACATCTCAAAGTGCTTCACAGAATATACTGTAAAGTGAATTGTATCTTTTGTGGGCGAAACGAAACAACCAATTGTGCACAGTTGTGTCCCACAAATGTGACCAAATTAATATTTATTTATCCATTTATTCATTTATTTTGGAAAGAATTATTAATCCTAGAAAGTGATCCACCAATTGACTGACAAATGGGTTCCTACTTATTGCTAGGTAAACAGAGGCATGTGAAGTAAGAAAACTTGCCTAAGGTTACATCCTGCCAGAGAATTGAACCGGGGTCCTCTCGCTTGCGAGCCAAGTGCTCCAACCACTATGCTATAATGACAGTAATGCAAAAAAAATACCCCCACCTCCCATCACAATGTTTGTTATTATTGCTGTTAAGTCCCATTGGGTGCAGCTGTTTTTCTTTGGCGCGCTGCACTGTTAAAGCCTTCCAGCCATGATTAATGTGCGGTGGTCAGGAACAGGGAAGCGAAGAGTTATGTTTTAATGTACTTCATAAGACAACAAATTGATGCAGGCACTGAATTAAAGAGATGCCTGTGGTTTGTCAAAAGGAATCATATTCCCTCTTTTGCACAGAAAAGCTCATTATCCTTCCAGTGTAATGATACACATTTATAAGTGAAATACATATTTAAATATAACTGCAGGCAATGTGGAGGAAAATCAGGTTGTAGGCCTTTTCCGTTATATCAGATGAAGGATATTCAGAGTGACCAAGGGATGGTGCTGGAATGAGTTACCTCCTAAACCATTTGGTGGATTCTCTTTTAGCGTTAATTTATAATGTCCCCAATAACACGGATGGCTGGTCTTATAACCCACACTGAGGACTTTGACCTTATAGCCAAGTGCACCCAAGCACAAGCGCAAACCGGGTC